AGCCCCGCTCTGCGGGGGGGGGGGGGGGGGAGGGGGGTTGATGAGCCTCACACTTCAACTACCAAACTGCATATTTTACTTCAATACTCTGAGCTCTATGGTTCAATCACAAATAGGGGCTGCAAGGAAACAAAAGTAATCAAACCTATAATGCTGAGCAAGTTAATTTTATTGAGTTGTTAGTCTGGAGGGCCTAGAATATACTCACAGCGTCAACGCTAACAGACTTGCCATCTTCCGCAATGACTTCAACTATAGTTCCTGACAGATCAGCCTGTACAGTACACAAATTTATAGTTTGAGATAGAAGAGAAAATCCACAGGATCATGAAGACAATTTTAAAAAATGTTACAAACCATGCATTTCTCATTGTTTTATTTGTATTCGTAGTTACAAACCAAGATACAAATCAAATTTAAGCTTATTATATATATTTTATACAATTCTGCAAATAATGAAAAGTTTGTTGTATGAAAATGTCAAACACAATGCATCCCTAAAATAATTCAATAAGTTTTCGCACTTCACTGTTGTGTCTCCACGAAAAACAGTAAAGAGTAGGTATTTTGAATTAAAATAATGTTACATGTTCAATTGATTTCATTAGCTATTTTCTCCTTAAGTATTAATCAAGAATAAATAAAGTACTAGCAGGATTATCTGCTTGGGTAAACTTCATTATTACAAACTGTATATACATGCATGAAGAACCACTATCTTAACGAAAACTATACCTGTGTTGACAAACATGTGGAATTGCAGGAAACTTTAAAAATAGTCAGAATCCTACATGGCTAATTAAAGATTGACAAACTTATTTGCAAATGAGATATCATTATATCAACAATGATACAAGTCAGAATCATACACGGCTAATTAAAGGTTGACAAACTTGTTTGCAAATGAGATATCATTATTATATCAACAATGATACGACCATTGGTCCTAATGATACCGTAACAGAGCTTGTTTAGATAATGGGTTAAGTTGTAGGTTGGTAGCATGTATATATAGGGGTTAGTGTGATAAAGTGGAGGATGAATATGTACACTCTAGTGGTAATGAAATAATGATAACTATGGAGGATCAAAAAACTGGTTCAGATTAAGCACACAAAGAGCCTGTTTGTTTTGTCATTGAGTTATGTTGACCGAAACATTGGAATTCGGGATTTGCTTAAAACAAACACTAAAGGTGTGTTTGATTTGGCGTTTAAATCATGTAAACGTCCGTTCAACTCAAAGCAACAACTTTGTTGCTTCTCAATTCTTGCATTGGAAAGTGAAAAACTATGGTTACGTTTACAAAAACGCATACCCAAACACACTGCAAAAGAATGCACTTTAATTGATAAACAGAAAGAATGCACGAATTCCTATAATATTCAAGAGATCCACAACTCTCCCTAACCACAATACTAACTCACCAACTGACAAACTCCTCCCAACCCCTCTTCCTATTTATAAGCAACATGCCTTGTTTATTTCTTCAAACTATCTTACCTTAAAGGATGAACTAAGAAGGTCCTCGAGTAACACACAGACCTATCAATACTCACCCCCCAAAACATTCACCTTATCCTCAAGGTTGTTCGGCTTGTGACTGCTGAAATAAAGCCCCTTCTTTGTTCTAGTGGTTTGAACTTGAAGCAATCCAAGCTTTGATACCAATTTATGTAACTGGACCAGAATCTAAAAAAAAGAAAGAATTTTTACTGATAACCCAAAATCCCGTTTGTTGTGCCAATGTGTAGTAAACTTACGCTAGGGTTAGAAGATACAAAATGAATGATTTTCCTAGATATTTGAGAGACCAGGACTCTCCCCACTCTCTAAAGAGTCTAATCCTTTCTAAAATGATAATATTCCTTGTCTCTCAACATCCCCTCTTTATTTATAGGCAATATGCCTTATTTATTCTACTATCTCAGCCTGTCCAACTAACCTAACTAACTAACTCTCTCACTAACAGAAACCTAACCAATTATTAATGGGTATCTATAAGAGGATTTGATAACTGCAGCATTTGATCACAGGGATGCTATCTGGGAGAGACACCAATATTTTACAATGAGATTAGCAATCAAAGACAAGGATTGGGATTGGGCCAAATAAGCCGCAAAATGGAGAATAATCTAAAGTCGTTGTAGAGATTGAAGGGGAAGACACAACCACTGAGGTCAACAGTGAGGAAGAGATCATAAATGTGGGAAGTGATTTTGCGGAAAGAGTTTTATCAAATTGAAGAAATGGTAACCAATTGAATGTGGAGAAGAATGAATTGTGGCCAAAACTGATTACCCAAGTCAGTAAGAACAGATCAGAGGCCACTAAAGTAAAAGCAACAGAAATTCCATTGTCGGAGGGGCCACAAATGCTGAGAGGGGGTACTGGACGCGAGGGGGTGTATTGGGAAAAATCCAAGTCTCAGATCGACTAGAGATTAGACAATTGAATAGTATATAAGTGGAAAACAACCCTCACTTTATAAGCCAGTTTTGTAGGGTTGAGTTAGGCTTAAAAGGTGAGGGTTGTTTTCCACTTATATACTATTTAATTGCCTAATCTCTAGTCAATGTGGAACCTGGGTTTTTCCTAATACAAATAATTACCAAAAAAAAAGCCACTTTGTTTTCAACTATATGTATAAGAAGAACTCTCGAGGGTTTTCAAGATTTCATCCTAGTGCTCTTCAAATGGTTTCTTTCAGTTTTTTCCTTGTTAGAGGAATACAGGAATTGAAAAGCACCTTTGTATTATGAAAAATGCTAATAACATAGACTTTGATACTGATTTAAAAATTGTTTTATCATCCAGTGAAATCCCATGTGAGAACCATTAAGTAACCTAAGCCCATTTTCTATTCATAGGGCTTGCATTGCATGGGATTTCACCTAGTAATAGTGTTAAAAAGAGTGTCGAAGAGTGTGTTGCAGAATTTTTGCTTGTATTAATGCTTTCTCTGCCTTGCTTTAGTTTCTGTTGTTGTTCAATCCAAGGAGGACACCTTATCACCCTTCTTTGTGCCTCTATTTCCTTTCAACGATATTCTTCTAACCAAACATCTCCCACCGAGTTGACTATCTCTATTGCCCACCCATACATGTTACTAGTAGTCATTATACAGTTCTTGCCACATGACTTACCCAGTAAACTAACAAAACGATTTGAAACTTTTTATTCTCTGACAGACTTGAAGAGGGATATAGGAGAGGAAAATCCACAATCAAGACCAAATCACCAGAATGCTCCACATTTGAACATCTTTAATTTTTCATTTCCATTGGCTCAATTTACTAAATAAGGAGGTCAAAATGCATTGCATATGTGCTAATAATATCTATTATTGCTGGTCATTAATTGAGAATTTAATGAAGATTTATTTAGAGAAAGAAACTCATGTTAAGTAATATATGAGCATAGGAAAAAGAAAAATGCAAATAAATAAAACTAAATGCATTCTGTGGTACATATTCTAGACTCTAGAGCACAAAATTCAACATTTAGATAATACAAACAGAAATTATAAGAGGCAATAAATGCACAGCAAATAAGTGCACCTTATAAAGGCATATTGTGTAGAAACCACTATTTTAATCAACAGTTACCTAATAAAATGAATATAAAACCTTTGAACTTACTTCTATTTCATTCATCAATTTCATTGCCTCAATGATGCATACCACTTGCCCTTTCTTTACTTTGTCTCCAACCTAAAGAAAGAGTACTTTCAGACAAGGTTGCAAAAAGACAGGATACAAATACATAAAATTATAAAATACATTGAATCTACCTTCACAAATGGAGGTTCACCAGGTGCAGGACTTCGGTAGAATGTCCCTGCCATGGGGCTTTTAAGAGGCGGATGTGATGACTTAGTTGACTTGACAGCAGGGGGAGAAGCTGGTGTAGGGGAAGGGCGAGCTAGAGCAGATGTTGGAGGAGAAGCCGATTCAACAGGTGGAAGGGGCATCGCTGGTGGAGGGGTTGAATACACCACTGCAGGTTGCAGTTGAGGCATAGCCTCCTTTTTCCTGATTGTTATTTCTACATCATGCTGCTGCATCTTCAACTCCATAATGTCTCTTGAATCAACAAGCCTGCAGAAGAAAATTGGACAGGAAGGTTTCCATTGCTGATTGCTCTACTCCAATCATGCAGTGAAAAGCACATATGTTGGCTATTACTAATAGAAGGAAGCAAGACTGAAGCATTTGCTTACTTGACAAGACTTGCAACTTGATTAATAAACTGAGAGACAGACTCTTGTGTTGCCAGGACCGAAGAAGATGATTCAGCTGAAGGTTTCATGGGTGGTTCCTTGTCTGATTTTTCTTTGTTAGGAGGAGGCGCATTGGAGGAACCATCAAGGGAAACCTTGTTGAAGCCAAAAAGATGAGACCAACGAGTGTGTGTCCCAGAAGTAGATTTTAACAAGTTTACACATTTTGGTACATAATACAGTTAGATCATGTTTGGATGAACTTTTCTATGATCAGCTACAGGAGAAGAAAATAAGAAGGTTCTTAAGAAAGTTGAATTGGACTTAACTCAACCTTACCAAATTGGTTTGTAAGGTGAGAATTATTCCATACTTATATATACTATTATAATCATCTCCATGTGACTTGTGAGATATAAAACACACCCCTCACACCGAAAATTTGATATATCGTGAGTAAAATTTATAGGACCGGACATTTATGGTGATCTGATAGTAGTACGATTACATATGGATGATAGTAGTACAATTACAGATGGCTGATAGTATCTTTAATACACTATGATGACCATCTCACTAGCTGATGTAGAATCCCCAACAAAATAAAATGAATTATGCTTCTCTTCAAAACTAAAATCAAATCATACACAAGTATATAAAATTTTAGCTTATGGGTGAAGCTAAAATCATTTTAACTTCTTATTTTTCTTCATCTAATGATACTTAAAGATTTATAGAGAAGTTTATCTGGACAGACTCAAGGGTATTGCCCATTAATTTTCCAATCAATGATTATAAATCCACAATTTTCCCTCTTCACCAAATTGATATTTGAGATGAAACATAGATAGATATATAGTGTGGAAGTGAAGGGAAGAGTGCTCACCTCTTTTAATTGGGCCTTAACCCTTGGGCATAACAGCACATGACCAGGCTGCACACATAGAGAGAGATTAATGAAGAAAATTCAATGAGAGGTGTGTTGTAACATGGAAGACACAAAGTAAGTTGGAAAGTGAGAGAAAACAAGTGTTAAGGAAAGTAACAGTAACCTTGTTGGGGGTGTGAAAGCGTAGGTTGTTGGGTTTAGGAGAGAGACGGGAAGAGTGTGTGAGACAGAGATTAGTGGCGGCTTTGGTGGTACCAGGTGCGAAGGAGGAAGCCATGTGTTGTGTTGTCTCAAAGTGAAACAGAGGAATGAGTTGAGATGAGAATGAGAAAGTGAAGAAAGGAAAAGAAAAGGAACAGTAACACACGGCGCAATTCCAGTGGCGCTTCTTTAACCTCTCAACGTCACCTATATCCACTACTGCTAACATTTTTCTATAAGTTTAATTATACTTTTATTCTTTTTTATTTTATTTTTTAAAAATTATTTCACTCTTTTATTCTTTAAAATTTAATTTTAATATCTGTAAAATTAATTATTTTTTATTTTAATCTTTGTAAAAAAAAATATTTTTCATCTTTTAAAATTTATAAATATTAATTTTATTTTTTTAAAATTAATAAATTTTGAATTTAATTATTATAAAATATTTTTCTTTGATTTTCACTCTCTAAATTCTAAACTCAATATTTTTAGTCTTTAATAATTATTTTAAATTATATAATAACATGTATTTTAAGAATCTATAAAAAAATTTAGAGGTCTTAAATACTGATATTACATCAATAATTATTGTGAGTAATCTTATGATGTTCACTTAATTTTTTAATAAATTAAAATTAAAATTAAAATTAGTAGTTCCATTTTTATAGGATAAAAAACTAAAAAAAAAATTACATAGACCAAAATTAAAACTTACTTATTTTGTAGAGACCAAAAATGATAGTTATAATTTTTCATTTTTTTTAGTTAAACTACACTTTTATTCTTTTATATTAATTTTACAATTTATTTGGTTATTTTAATTTTATTTCTTACAAATTTATTTTATTCTTTTATTTTTTTAATCTTGGATCAATTTAGTTCTTCCAAAAAAGTGATGATTTTCAATTTAGTGGCATAATTTTAAATATTTTTTATTCATTCAATAAGTAAAACTTATCACATTAATTCATTTACATTAATATTAAACTCGAAATCAATTAGGATCAATGATTTTAATGTAAGTAAATATATCGAATAACGTATTAAATAAAAAAATTATTAAAACTTATGTTACAAAATTAAAAACAATCATGATGTAAAAAAAACTAAATTGATTCAAAATTATAAGATAAGAAACTAAAATAAAATTTTAAAGAAAAAAAAATAGATCTTAAAAAATAAGATACATGATCAAAATAATAATTTAGTCTATTTATTTTATTGATAATAATATTTTTATTTATTTTTCTAGTCTCTTTCC